GTTGATCTACAGTCAACGTTGATGTGCCCTGGGGCCAAAAGTTATTCTTGAGTGCTGCTCGGGCTGAATTGCAGCCGTGTAGGATGCTGGAGCGGATATTGTCACAGCTGGGCGGCCCGGCTAATTTTTTGTATTTTTAGTAGAGATGGGGTTTCACCGTGTTAGCCAGGATGGTCTCGATCTCCTGACCTCGTGATCTGCCTGCCTCGGACTCCCAAAGTGCTGGGATTACAGGCGTGAGCCACCGTGCCCGGCCTATCTTATCTCTTTCAGATACAGAAAATAGAGTTAGGCCCCTCTAAATATTATACATGGTAATATGGTGGGAGTGATTTTAAGGGAATACATAATACCCTCTTAGATGGATTATCATTGGAGAGACGTTCCTTTTGGTCCATTTTCTTCTAAAAACTGAGCCTTCTTGGGTGTAATAACATTTAATTTAATTCAGACTAAATTGTTGTTTTATTTCTGTGATTTTAGGAGAAACCCATTGGTTCATACTAAATCAGTAGAGTTTTCTTGTGACTTTAGGAGAAACTCAAAAAGTCGTAAGTGCGTTTTGCAAGTAAGCATAGATGGACACAAAAAACTCAAAAATTCTGGCTTAGACTCATTTCACAGATACATGTAGCTCATATGTTAGCTGTAGTTCAAAAACAAAATTGCATACATTTTCTTAGGAGTAATGATTTTGGTTTTGTGCCAGCAACTTCTTCATATCATCTCTGGCCTCAAGTGCATCCACACTTAAGAGGATCTAATCAGCAGGAGGTAATCGTATTATCATCATGTACCTTTCCCATAATAACTCCCATCATTCCTTTTATGTGGATGAATAACCAGTGTTTTCAGCAAAGGCCACTTCCTCCATTTATGTTCTAAATTGGGTGTGATTTTATACCCCAGGAGACATTTGGCAGTGTCTGGAGACATTTTTGATTGCTATAACTGGAGATGGGGAATTGGTACTGCCATCTAGTGAGGAGAGGCCAGAGATTTTGATAAAACGTCCTACAGTGCACAGGATAGCCCTCCACAATGAAGAGTTACCCTGCCCAAAATGTCAGTAGTACTGAAAGTTGTGAGAAACCCTGATTTGTACCTTATGGTTCGCATCTCTCTTTCCTACTTAAGTGCATGATTCTAGCAGTTTCTCCCTTCTCATAAAAATGCTTTTTCTGCTCTACTGAAACACTTTCTTCATTTAGCCTTCTTAGTTTTCTCCTACCATGCTTAATTGCTTCTTGTCAGCCTGATTCCAGATTTGTATACTCAGCTGTTTCTTTGACATCTCCTCCTTGAAGGTCTAATAGCTATCACATGTTCCTCTTCCAGTCTTCCCTAAATCAATAAATGGCAACTCCACTTTTTTTTAGTTCCCTTGTAGTCTACCTTTTATCTTCCATTTATGTCCTATATCTAATGTTGGCAAATTCTATTGGTTATACCTTCAAAATGCATCCAGAATCTGACTACTACTTATCATCTCTACTGCTGCCACCTTGGTGCAAGACAGCATCATTTTTTCCCCTGGATTATGGCAGTTGAATCTTAAATGGTCTTCCTGCCTTTTCTGCCTCTAGTCTATCCTCCTTCAGTTTATTTTCAACATAGTAGCTAGAATGCTCCTGTTAAAATACAAATAAAATCTTTTTAGTCCCTTCTTCCAAACATGGCTTTTTCTTTTTCCACTCAGAGTAAAAACCTGAGTGCCTGCAATGCCCTTTATTGCTGTTTCTTTAGCACCTGAAACAGAAGGTGGTACAAAAAAGTACTCAATAAATTAGTAAGTGGAAAGGATACTTTGTGTAATACACACATTCTTACAGTAAAAACTGATCTTTTCATAAGGCTATTTTTTATAATACTTCTTGATATAGGTCAGTGGCATTAAGTCATATTTAGAAAAATCAGTTTTATAGGATGAAGGCAGAGAGCTTTGATACAATATAGGTGTAAAGCTGTGCTGGTCTGGTTTAATCCAAGGATATATATTAATGTATCAAGAGGAATTGACAGGCTGTTCTAAAATTTTCCTCAGTGATACTTTTGAAAGACTTAAATATATAATGAATTAGAGGTTAGCCTGACAAATACCTGAAGTGTAGAGATTCTGTATTTTAGGAGTTTAATATGTTGTATTAATCTGCTAGGGCTGCCATAACAAAATAACAGACTGGGTAGCTTAAACAACAGAATTTTTTTTTCCTCACAGTTCTGGAGTTGGGAAGTTCAAGATCTACGTGTCAGCAGATTTGGTTTCTCTGGAAGACTTTCTCCTTGTCTTGTACATTGCCCCCTTCTTGCTGTGTCCTCATATGGCCTTTCTTCTGTGCACATGCACTCGTGGTGTCTTTTTCTCTTAGGGACACTAGTCTTATAGGGCCCCACCCTTAAGGCCTCATTTAACCTTATATTACCTCTTTAAAGGCCTTACCTCTAAGTACAGTCACGTTGGTAGGTAGAGTTTCAAGCTGTGAATTTTGGGGGCACACAGTGTAGTCCACAACACGTTTTAACAATTGGCTGAGCTGGTCCTGGAATTGAAAATTGAGGAGCCTAACAAAGACATGATTGAGGTGGCCGCCCTA